AAGTGTTGCAATATTGCAACACTTAGGCTCAGGAAAATCCCACTAACATCAATGTATAGTGACCAGATGATTTGATTTTAATGATGTTGGTTGGGGGACAAATATTGTTGAGAACAGAGGTTCAGGAAAAGTTTCATCTCATCTACACTGATGTCTATTCATGGGATAGGAGCAAAGATGGCCATATGCACAGCGGGAAAAGTCAGACATTGCAAGATATGACGACTGTGTTGGAACATATGTAACAGTAACACGTGAATAGTACTGTGTCAGTCACTGAGGAAGGAGAACAATATGGCAGGATGGTCAATCTAATCCGAAAAAGTGATGGAGAAAGAAAAGAGAGTTACAAAAATTCACATGGTGATAGTGGCATTATGATGCCAGGAATATAGAGCTGAGGTTAAAATCAGATCGACAATGGTCTTACTGAATTCCATAACAGGATCAAAACGCCTTGTTTGTATGCCAGTGTGTAGCAATCCAGAATCCCAGGTTATTGTTCTGGGGACACATGTTCAAACCTTCCCCACTGGCACTTAAATCAATTGGCAATCCAAATGATTTAATTCAAATCCTGAATTGAATGCTGGTGTCAGTAACGGTGACCATGAAATGGTGGTCAATTGTAGTTTTAAAAAAAATCTGGCACATTAATCTCTTTTAGGGAAGGAAATCTGCCATCGTTTCCTGGTCTGGTCTACATGTGACTCCAGACCCACAGCGATATGTCTGACTCTTAACTGCTGTCTGAAATGGCCCGTCCAGCCAATCCATTCTAGAGGCAATTAGGGATGGGAAACACACACTGTCCTTGGCAAAGACGCCACCATCCCACAAAAAAATAAGGAAAAAGTGCTATAATGTATGGATTATTGTCATGATACATTGAAGGTTTACAACTGAATATGAACATTCACAAAAGGGAAACCTCAAGTAATACGGACTATCATAAGGAATTATTGCTGTGAGATTGACAACTTTTCTTCAACAGGCAGAAAGATTCTTTCAACGATGCTGCAAACAAAACTCCAAACCAATTTTCAACAGGGTTCAGGATGATGAGCTTCAAAGCTTGCTTGTGAATTCACTTTTACAAAGCTGATTTGAAAAGCATGACTTTTTTGTTTTAGAAAGAGAGTGAGTGATTTGCTGGAGGAAATGTTTCTTGAAAAGGGATTTAATAAAAATCCTGATACGAATTCCACATAGTGTCTTGCAGCATCAATTCTTCATCCTGATTAAAATTCTGAAACAAGGAGAGAGAACAATTTTTGAGATGAACATTCAGACATTTTCCACCGGCCTGATTTTCTCAATTCATCACGCTGTCTCCTGCAAAGGATCATAGAATCATAGACGATAGCTGAGGCCCTCAAGCCCATCGAGCCTGTACCACCAAAGCTACACTAAATCTGCACTGGTCCCACTTTCCTGCACTGGCATGCTCTCTGGAGGGTTGGTGTGCACTTCAATGGGCTATGTGGCCTACTTCCACACTGTAGGGACTCTATAAAGTATTTCTCCTTATACCTGTGCTCAAAGGGTGACACCTAATTTTTAAAAACACCCCCTAGTTCTGGACCCACCCACAGGAGGAAATATCATTTTCACATCCACTTTCTCTACATGTTATATACTTTAATTACCCCTCACTCTTCTAAACTCCACTGTAAACTAGCCCAATGTGTCTAACGTTTCTTTTTTTAATATCAGTGTAGACTTGATACATCAAAGTGCCTCTTCTGTACAGTGTGACTCTACGAAAACCTAGTCATTGCTGGTATCAATTTAGCAAACCCTACTGAACCACCTCCAACACATCAATCTTTCAATAAAGAGACTGAAAGGACACACAATATTTGAGATGTGGTCTCACCAATACCCTCTGTAACTAAAGCATAATTTTACTTTAATGTTCCACTCAGAATAAAGAACAGTATTCAACTGACCTTCTCAATTACTTGCAATCAGCATGATATAAACACAACATCAAAATTACACTCACCACAAAGTATTGGTATTGGAATTGGTGTCGGACTCTCAGGTGCTGAATGAAATTCCTGCTGTGATAATTTGGATCCCCCCATGGCATTGATGCACAAATTGGACAGACCTACAGGACAAGAATCCACAGCTTCAGATAAAAAAAAGTACTGCCATGTTAAACGATAGCATTCTCATCTTTTAAGAATGTTGTTGGTACAAGTCCCACTTGAGTAGAATAATCGCGGCAGACTCTCTGGTATAGTTCTGAGGGAGTACTGCACTTTCAGACTGGATGTGATGTTAAACCATCATCTCTTCTGGCCTCTCAGGTGACGAGAAAAGGTTCACAGCACTATTCTAGAGTAGAAGGTGGCTGACACTCCCCTCTCCAGTGCAGTTAGGGATGGGCAATAAATGCTGGCCTAACCAGCGATACCTAAAACCCATTTCTTTTTATTCATTTTTGTGGGATGTGGGTGTCGCTGGCTGACCCCAGCATTTCTTGCCCATCCCTAGTTGCCCTTGAGAAGGTGGAGGTGAGCTGCCTTCTTGAACCGCTGCAGTCCTCCTGCTGTGGGTTAACCCACAATGCCCTGAGGGAGGGAATTCCAGGATTGTGACACAGTGACAGTGAAGGAACGGTGATATATTCCCAAGTCAGGATGGTGAGTGACTTGGAGGGGAACTTGCAGGGGGTGGTGTTCCCATGTATCTGCTACCCTTGTCTTTCTAGATGGAAGTGGTCGTGGGTTTGGAAGGTGCTGTCTGAGGATCTTTGGTGAATTTCTGCAGTGCATCTTGTAGATAGTACATACTGCTGCTACATTAGCACATTAACAAATCAGCAGGGGTGTCCTCCTTGGTAATCTACCCAATTAAGTATCCCTTAAATCACAATAAACCATATTATCTGGTAATTACTACATAGAAGTTTGTGGCAACTTGCTGTATATGAATTGGTTGCTATGTTTCCTATAATAAATGCTGGTCAGCTGGCGACATGAGTGAATAAAAACCATTACAATAGGGAATACACTTCGGAAATAGTAGGAACTGCAGATGCGGGAGAATCCGAAACAACAAGGTGTAGAGCTGGATGAACACAGCAGGCCAAGCAGCATCATAGGAGCAGAAAGGCTGACGTTTCGGGCCTAGACAGATTTTCTGATGAAGGGTCTAGGCCCGAAACATCAGCCTTTCTGCTCCTATGATGCTGCTTGGCCTGCTGCGTTCATCCAGCTCTGCACCTTGCTGTCAGGGAATACACTTCATTGGCTGTAAACCTCTGGTGGTCAGGAAACGTGCAAGTCTTTGTTTCCATCAACTCCACGAATTTCTCAGGCAATATTTGAGTAATTTTGGAACAAAAAATCAACATTAAAAATCCCACACAGAAGGCAATTGAATCCAACATATTGCCTTGACACAACAATATAAAGCTCACTGTGATGGGGAGAGTGTTTTGAGAGTTAATTGTGAATCCTCCCGGAAACTGGGCTCCATTCTCAATGTTTTAATGTATCTTATCAGTTGGACATTATTGGGAATTTGTCCCAGTTAGATACAAAGGACAAAGGCCTTTTGTGACCTCTTAGCAAGAGTTTCATTTTCTGTAGTTAGGATGTTCTGAGGTCACAAAAAACATACAAATGCAAGTTGTCCATCTCTGTTTCTCCAACAGGAAAAGCTGAGATGAGCCTTCTATGTCTCTCTTGCTGGTGTGGTGTGGAGTGAAGGGCAGAGGGTCCTCTCGATTTGAACATTAGATAAACTCGCATCATCATCAAGGAGAGTGCCAACTGATTTTCTGAAGAGTGGCGCACACAATGTAAATGTTTTTATTGCACAAACAATTTAATGATCAAGAAGAAACAACATGAAAGCACTTACCACATGCTGATAGTCATGATAATGATCTGTGCAACAGTGCAGCACGAGGTCATTCATGTCATAACCCATTTGTTGGCAATATGGACAGGTAAATGTAGATCTGTTTGGTTCCATGGCACTTGAAAATAGGGCAAAAAGAAGTACTGTGCTATATTGTTTTGGAGGTCACATTGATGGATGAACATCAATAAACAACTCTGAAACCACTTATAGGACAATTCTATGAAACAACTTTTAAATTGCCTCTACAAACATTTGTAGAAGCCACATAGATGAGCAGAATGAGTAAAACATCACTAACTTCCTTGTGTTGGAGATTTGTACTCAGTGATGTATATAATCCAATGAACCACAAGAGAACATATTACATGAAAGCTATTTTCCCCAGTTACTGAACACCTAATGAAGTGTTGAGGTACAAGGGTTCACAAGTATTAAATTACATTTTATCAATGACTTGGATTTCATTTGTCCTAAATTCAAATCTGGACTGCCCCAGAGTCTAAACCTTCAGGCACCAGCCAGATAAAATAATCTATGAAGACAGTGCAGCATTGCCATGAACAAAGCAATTGGGAATATAGGATAAAAGCTGAAAGAACTGCAGATGCTGTAAATCAGGAACGTAAACAGAAGTTGCTGGAAAACCTCAGCAGGTCTGGCAGCATCTGTGAAGAGAAAATCAGAGTTAATGTTTCGGGTCTGGAAATGTTAACTCTGATTTTTCCTTCACAGATGCTGCCGGACCTGCTGAGCTTTTCCAGGGAATACAGGATCCCCAAACTAATTCAAAAAAAGTGCAAAGCTTTGATATATTCCGTTGGTTTGTGCATGAATGTTTCTCACCTTCAATGAACATAACTGAACAACATAATAGGTGTGACAGTTTATCGTAAATTGGTTGTTGGTGTCGTTATGGGCACATTTAGGATTGTTCAACAAGTTCTGGAATCACATCTATGAGTAAACGTTTTGATGTGGAATTATTTTTATTCCCCTGGCAGGTTCAAAGCTTACCTGAATGAGGCAGGTGTTGGCTGAGGTAACGCACTTGTATTGTAGTTCGGACCGTATTCCTCCAAATACTTTGCACAGGTTGTAGTGTGTGCCCTCATGTTGATCAGATACATCTGAAAATAACCCCACACTTTTGATATACACAGAAACATAGTAGCATGAGACAATGAGACGCAGGAGCAGAATAGGCCATTCAGCTCATCGAGTCTGCTCTATCATTAAGATCATTGCTGATCTGATAATCCTCAACTCCACTTTCCTGCCTTTTCTGCACAGCTCTTGATTCCCTCACTGATTAAAAATCTTCTGTCTCATCCCTGAATATATTTAATGACCCAGCCTTGACAATCCTCTTTGGTAAAGAATTCCACTGATTCACTACGTTCTGAGAGAAGAAATTCATCCTTATCTCTGTCTTAAATGGGTGACCTCTTATTCTGAGATTATGTACTCTGGCCCTAGAACCCCCTGTCCAATTTAATAATAGGCTGCCTATAGCAGGGCAACCAGAACTGGACCAAAAGTGACCTGACCAATGTCCTGTACAACCACAACATGACATTCCAAATCCTATACTCAATGGTCTGAACAATGAAGGCAAGTGTGCTAAACGCCTTCTTAATCACCCTATCTAACCTGTGACGCAAATTTCAAAGAACTATGTACCTGAACCCCTAGGTCTCTCTATTCAATAACACTTCCCAGGCCCTACCATTGACTGTATAAGATTTACCCTTGTTTGTTTTACCAAAATGCAATGCCTCGCAATCATTCAAATTAAACACCATCTGCCAATTCTCAGCCCATTGGCCCAATTGACCAAGACCCATTTGTAATCTTAGAGAACCTTCTTCACTGTCAACTGTACCACCAATTGGTGGTGTCATCCACAAACTTATGGACCATTATTTACTTACTAAATTCTCATCCAAATGTTTAAATGACAAACAAAAATAAACTCAGCATTGATCCCTGCAGCACACCACTGATCCCAAAGATTCATCCATCTTTATTTTTTCTACGACCTCTAGCACCACCTCTTCCGTAATGTGGACTGTTTTCAGGACATAAATATTATTTCCCTGAGTTCGCTAGCCTCCATGAATTTCTCCACAGTAAAAATTGACATGAAATTTTTGTTTAGTATCTCTCCCATCTCCTGTAGTTCCACACATAGACGATCTCATTGATGGTTATTCTCTTCCCTCGTTGCTCTTTTGCCTATAATGTACTTGTTGAATCTCTTTGGATTATCTTTCACCTTATCTGTCAAGGTTATCCCATATCCCCTTTTGCCCTCCTGATTTCCCTCTTAAGAATGCCCCTAACACCCCCTTACACTGTTCAAGAGATTCACTTGATCCCAGTTGTCTATACCTAACGTATGCCTCCTTCTTATTTTTGACCAGACCCTCATTATCTTTATTCATCCATTGTTCGCTCCTCCTACAGCCTTACCTTTCACTCTAAAAGGAACTCTCTGAACTCTCGTTATCTCACTTTTGAAAGCCCCCCAGTTGCCAGCCATCCCTTTACCTGCGAACAGTCTACTCCAATCAACTCTTGAAAGTTTCTGTCTCATACCACCAAAGTTTGCCTTACTCCAACTAAGAACTTTAACTTTTACACAAGGCCTATCTTTTCTATAACTATTTTTAAACTAATAGAATTATGATCACTGATCCCAAAGTGCTCCCCCACTAGCAATTCAGTCACTTGCCCTGCCTTATTTCCAACAGAAGGTCAAGTTTTGCTCCTTCCCTAGAAGGTAGATCTACATATTGATAAAGAAAATTTTCTTGTAAACATTTTGACAAATTCCTCACCATCCAGGCCCTTAACACCATGGCAGTCCCAGTCTATGTTTGGAAAGTTAAAATCCCCTACAGTTACAACCCTGTTATTCTTACAGATATCTGACTCCTGGATCTGTGTCTTCTCAAGATGTGTCACCAAACGTAAGAGGTCAGGAGAGTGCACTACGGTCTATGAGATTTTGTTAGACTTTGCCTATATTACAGTGTCTCAGACAAAAATGGAGAAACCCCGTCGAGTCTGTTCAAACTCCATAGGTTAAGATGAGATAGTGCAGGCTCTGCAACCGAAAACAACACGTGTAACCAAAGCTTCAAGAGCCTGCTCTTCATGAGCTAACCTCAATGTCACAACCTCTGCAATTTGCTTTCATTGTTCTCATCCAGGTCTCAATGTCAGTTGCTGGTCGCTCCATGGAAGAAGTGGGATTCCGGCACAAAGGACATTTTCCATTGTTCATGTTGAAGTTTTGAACGTGGCATTCTTGGCAAAAGCTGAACGAAAAAGAAACAAAAAGAAAACAGTGAGGCTGGGGCTCTTTCTAATACAAAGAGAAGGATGACATGGTGGGGAGGGGGTGGTGTGATGAGGTGGGAAATGGCATTTGTAGTTATGGAGAAGCTTGCTAGAGCAGACAGAGAGAACTTGCCAAATACAAACAGAAAGTGCTGGAGAAACTCAGCAGGTCTGGCAGCATCTGTGCAGGGAGAAAAAAAAAGTTAACTTTTCAAGTCCAGTATGATGGTTTGGAATGTTTCCACTTTTGGAGAGACCAAAATTAAGCATCATAAATATAAGACAGTCACTAATACACAACATCTTGTCTATTCTGAAGAAGAGTCACACCAGGGCGGGTTCTGGATAGGGTGCTCTTTGGACGCTTGGTTGGGGCAGACTCAATGAGCCAAATGGCCTCTTCTGCATTGTAGGGATTCTATGATTCAATGATCCATCCGAAAGGGTGACACCCAGAACTGGACACAAACTTTATGAATATTTAGGGACAAGACATTAGGCAACTAGTGCCTGCAAGTTTGTATTTACCGAACCTACCGGAGTTCTTTAAAAAAGTGACATGCTATTGCTAAAGGGGGTCTGGTAGATATACTATCCATAGACTTCCAGAAGGCAAAAGCAAGGAGACAATGCTTCGGTTATACATGGCATTGAGAGACAATATCTACTGGAGTTTTGAAGGTTAAGAGGTGACTTGATTGAAATGATTAAGATCATGAGAGGTCAGGACAGGGTGGACATGGACAAAATGTTTCCTCTTGTAGAAGGATCTAAAACAAGGGGGTCAACTGTTCCAAAATAAGGGGCTACCCATTTAAACCAGAAACAAGCCAAAAATCCTTCTCTCAGAGGGTTGTGGGTGGTGAGATAATTTCTTGAAAGGTGATGGAAACAAATTAATTTACCTTTTTTTTGAGGCAGAGATGGATAGGGAAGAGGTGAAAGGTTATTTATAGGTGAGTGGGAATGTGGAGCAACCAGATCAGCCATGCTTTTCACGAATGATAGAGCATAAACGAGGGCCAAGTGGCCTACTCCTTGTTTGTATGTTCATATACTTGTCATGTACATAGATAAAGCCAACCATAAATAATGTCATGCAGGGTCCAAACCAAGGTCCATTGATTGTTAAAGGAGATTTCGGCATTAACGGCGCCCCAGAACCAGGGGTTTAAGGATAAAGGATAAATCTTTTATGACTAAAATGAGGAGAAATGTCTTCGCCCAGAGATGTGGAGGTGCTGGCATTGGACTGGGATGGACAAAGTCAGAAATCACACAACACCAGGTTATAGTCCAACTGGTTTATTTGAAAACACAAAGTTTTAGATCCTCGCTCCTTCATCACATGAACTCTTCACCTGATGAAGGAGCAGCACTCTGAAAGCTTGTGGTTTCAAATAAACCAGTTCGACTGTAACCTGGTGTTGTGTGATTTCTGACTTTGTCCACCCCAGTCCAACACCGGCATCGCCACATCAAAGAACTGTAGAATGATTACAGCATTCTGTACAGCTATTCTGTCTGTCTTATCCCTGCTGGGTTCTCAGCAACTGTAACTCAATATGTTCCACTTGCACTCTCCCTCTCTCCCCCTTAGTTCTGCAAATTTTCTCATCTCAGAATATTGTTCCCTTTCTAAAGTTATCACTGAGTCCGCCTCCACCACATTATCAGGTAGTGCATTCCAAACCTTAACCACTCATTGCAATCAGACCTTACGTCTGGTTCATAGATGTCTGGTTGAGGAACATTCCAACAACTGGAATGAACTGGAAGGAATGGTCTCCTTCCTGCATTTTATAAGATTATGGCTGATCTAATTGTGGCTTCAACTTCACGTTCCTGCCTATTTCCCAACAGTCTTTGGCTCCTTTGTTGATCAAGAAACTATTTACCTCAGCCTTAAAAATATTCAACAAGCCTGCCTCCGCCACTCTCTGTGGAAAGACATTTCCACAGAATAACAATCCTCATCTGACTCTCACATGGGAGAATCTTAGTCTTAAACTGGTTCCCTCTTTAGTTCTGAGATAACAAGGCATAGAGCTGGATGAACACAGCAGGCCAAGCAGCATCAGAGGAGCAGGAAAGCTGACATTTCCGGACTGGACCCTTCAGAAATGCTTTAGTTCTAGTCTCTACCACAAGGGGGAGACATCCTTTCAGACCCACCCTATCAAGTCCCTTCAGGACCTATGTTTACATTGTTTTAGATTTAAATTTTATTGTTACATGTACTCAAATACAAAAGCAGAAGAAACACCTGGACGAATACATGAATAGGAAGGGAATAGAAGGATATGGATCCTGTAAGTGAAGACAGTTTTAGTATGGAAGGGCAAAACGTGTCAGCACAGGCTTGGAGGGCCGAAGGGCCTGTTCCTGGGCTGTGTTGTTCTTTGTTCTTTGTACAGAGGTACAGTGAAAAGTGTATAATGTCACCACACAAGGCACCATCTTAGGTAGGTACAGAATCATAAAAACAAAGTAGAAAGAAAGAACAAAGTTAAAAGTTAGACATTACAGTAATTCTTAGTATTAAGTAGAAAAGTAAAGAAATAAAGCTAAAAGTCAAACATTACAGTCTTTTGAAATTGCTTAGCCACATTGGGACCACACTTCCTACAGGAGCTCGATTGCCTCAAGTTTGATCAGATCGCCTCTCATTATTACAAATACCAATGAGCAGCCTTTCTCCCCCTCTGCTTTGATTGTGAACAGATTCACAGAAATTGTTACAGTGCTGAAGAAAGCCATTCAGCCCGTAGTGTGTGCACTGGCTCTTGGAGCATTTTAACTTGGGGGCATATTCCTGCCTTGTCCCGTAACCCTGCACTTTGCTTATTCCAATGACCCTCTTGAATGCCTCAATGGAGCCTGCCTCCACCCCCATTTCTAGGCAGTGCATTCCACACGCTGACTACTCGCTGAGCCAAAAACATTTTCTCCCACATCACATTTGCTTCCCTTGTAAAGTCACTTTAAATCTGGGCACATTAGTTCTTACAAGGAGGAGAAGTTCCTCCTTATCCACTGTGTCCAGACCCTTCATGATTGTGAAAACTCTCATTACATCGCTCTTCAGCCTTCTCCTCTCCAACAAAAACTGATTCGAAACTTCTCCAATCTACCCTCATAGCTGAACTTTTTCATTCCTGGAACCATTCCTGTAAACTGCTTTTGCGCTCTCTCTCTAATGCGTTCCTATGCTTCCTATGCAGAACTGTAGCTGAGCTCTAATCAGTCTTCTGTCCACAACACAGAGAAACTCAGCAGATTTGGCAGCGTCGATGTACAGAGAAACTGAGTTAATAGTAAATGGAAAAGGGTTGCAGAACTGGAAACATTATCTGTTCTGCTTTCCACAGATACTGCCAGGATTGCTGGGTTCCTTTCTGTTTTTATTTCAGGTTTCCAGTGAGTGGCATTCTGTTGTTGTGTGAGTGTCTGTTTTGAGAGCTGAATGCAAGTTCAGCATAACTTCCCTGCCCTTGTACTGCATTACCAACATCAACCTCTCCAAGAAGAGAAAGCCAGTTTCACAGAAAAGTGGACAACTCCTTGGAAAGAATAACACACTCAAACCTTGCCTTAATGTTCAAACATTACTTACACATGTTGGCACTGGGTTCTGATCGGCTTGTGCAGTACTTGCATGCAGATAGGGCACTCAAAATCCTCAGCTTCTTTCGAATTCATCTGTCCTGGGTTCTTTCTGAGGTGAACTGTGGGATCTTCCTTTCGGAATCAGCCACCCCCCAGAGATGATTAATGACTGAACACTATCAGTGGAGCTGGAGTCCCAGAGCGAGCGTGGAAACTGACAAACTGAAACTGCAGCAGCTCAGTGCTGTGTCTACTTTACTGGATCAACTGGGAAGTCTCAAGCAGCGTTAAATTTCCCGGACATGTGCTGCCATTTCCGGAAAGTCAGACCCAAAAATCACTTTCACTTTCGACATTTGAACAGCTGTGTTCACTGCAGGGTGGGGATAGGCTCCGCCTTTCACATTCAGTGAAACTCCTCGTTGCTGTTTTATGTCACAAACCGGTCTCAAATCTCCAAAGGGGTGAAAAGCCTTAACCTCAAATTGATGCCTTTTTAAGAGAAAGAAAAATAAATAACAAATTGTGGTCTTAATCAGATACAAGAGGTAAAACGGGACAGAATGCAGATTGAGTTTTAAACTAAAGTTTTTGCATGGTTAAGTAATTGGATGACAAAATAATTACAGCGTGAAGGAATGAGACTCCATAGCTCTGGAAGTTCTGTGCTATAGAGATTAATATGTAGAAAAGGCAAGTTATTCAGGGTGCTGGAAATCTGAAACAGAAACAGATTGTTGGAGAGATAGTAGGAACTGCAGATGCTGGAGCATCCGAGACAACAAGGTGCAGGGCTGGATGAACACAGCAGGCCAAGCAGCATCATAGGAGCAGAGAGGCTGACGTTTCGGGCCTAGACCCTTCATCTGATGAAGGGTCTA